ATAATTAATCAGAGCTGTGGCAGCACCATCAGCCAGCGGACTGCCGTCATCATTTGTAATTTTCACCCGCAAAAGTAGAAGAGTGTCGTTTAAATCTAAATATTTCTCTCCATCTCCGGGGACAAAAAATTCTACAGGCCCGCCGTCCGTCAGGGCCACTATGGGCAAAATGTCGCTGTAGATCTTATCTTCGATAGACAATTGCGTCATGGGGACGGTGAAGAGGTCCAATTCACTTAGCGTACATTCTGACAATTTACTGTGGAGCAGTGACATATTAGAAAATATCAGAGCCCGGCTGACGATACTTCTTCCTCTTTTGCTTGCGTTTTGTAACTGGAGCTTTGATGCGCCGGTCGCTTCGTGATGTAGATGTCTTTAAACGCCTGCTGGGGGGTCTTTTCCTAACTCGCCTTGACAGAACCATGAGGCCTGACCCCTCTTGGGCATTAGGGTCAGTGATTTTACCGACGGCTCTCGTCAACACATCTGACGCGATTCCGGTAGCGGCCTTTTAGAGATGCGGTTTAGCCAGAGCAAATCCTTTTTTAACAAAAGGTGATATGAATCGAAACAGTCTTGAAAATATCGATCCAAAGCCACGTCCATACATATAAGGAACACCGCTAAAACCTGGTAAACCGTGACCGGCCTGAGTGACGTAATAATTGATAAAACAGTTGGGATTGTTTCTCTGCAGGTGATAAATCGTGTTTTTACGTTTGCAAAGATGTATGTTGCGTCGAGTAAAAGAGCGTAACTGACTCTCTCACCCTGTTTCACGCGCGTTATATTATTGTATTTCTCTGATGTGCGGGCCTGAAATGAAGCCTCACCATTGTTTTTCCGTATAAGAAGTGAATCGGCTCATTCTGATCAGATTTTATTTCGATATGAATGCTTTCTATATGATTCGTAGAAACGCTGATGTAATCCACAGTGTTAAACACATGAGTGATCGTGTGACCGAAGGTACCTTCAACTTTCATAAAATGACCCTTCAATTTTTTTCCCCATCAAAATCTTTGAGTTTATAAACCGGTGGCGATCGATGAAGACACTCATCCTCTGTGAACAGCTCGTGCGTGAAACTCTGCTCATATTTTTTTATCAAAACACCTCTGAGTTTGGAAATTCTCACGTCACCCCTGTTAAACTTCATTTTCTTTGCAGGCTTCAGTGTGGTGGTCCCGTAAAGGTTGCGAAACACTTGCCATTGATTTTCCGTGTTAACGTCAAAGGGGGCCATTTTGATAGAAGAGTGGTAGCTATGATTATAACCTTTCACCAAATCTTGAATCACATCTATGTAGCGATGGGTGTTTTTGGCTGTGAAATATCTCCACATTCTACCTTTTAGAGTCCTGTTAAATCTCTCCACAACGCTGGCCTTTACGCTGCTGGCTGTAGCAAAGTGCACAATTCCGTGTTTCTTCATGAGGGCTTCAAATTTCTTATTAAAAATTCTTTACCAGAATCCGTTTGCAATTTTTTAGGGATACCGCTGTCTTTCAAAACTGAAGCAAAAGCTTCTGTAACATCTTTCCCCGATTTGTTTTTCAGGGCTCGTACATAGGCTTTCTTTGAAAATACATCTATGACGGTTAATAGGTAATTAAAACCGTCATTTGATTTTGACAAGGCTTGCATGTCACATAAGTCAGCTTGAAACTGCTTTAGTGACCCTGAGACAAAAACCTTATTTCTCGGAAAATGAACTCTTGCAGGTTTGTGGAGTGTATAAGCGTCTTGTTCTGAGAGAAAATCACGAGCCTCGTCCGTTGAAACTTTATCCCCAATCTCTTGTTGTAAACCGGTTCTAAACCTTTCCACACCACCGTAACTGCCCTGATGTTTTGGTGAAAAATAAACCTTTTTCATTACCTCCTCCATCTCTGATGAATGGTTAAAAAAATGATGCATATTCATTTTCATTAGTCCTTTTTATTTCATAAATTGTACACTCTAATCGTACTGTAAAAACAGCCGTCAAATATAATGAATAAAATCTAAACACACACAGCCTAGTCAGAAATAAAATTTAATGACACTATAAAAAACAACCGTCAAATATAATGAATAAAATCTAAACACACATTGTGTGGCCTAGTCAGAAATAAAATCTAATGACACTATAAAAAAACAACCGTCAAATATAATGAATAAAATCTAAACACACACAGCCTAGTCAGGAATTAAATCTAATGACGCTGTAAAAACAGCCGTCGAATATAATGATTATAATAAAAAAATAAAGTTGTAGAAGAGACCCTCCACAGCTCACTCCACCACCACCCTGGACAGTGCGTCCAGGTCAGCTTTGGTTAGGCGATCGTACACCAGAAAAATGTCTTTGTGAATGGGCATCACAGCCCTGAATCCGTGCAGCTGCGTCACAGCCATGGTGAACAGGATCTCAGCGTCCAGAGACTGGAAGCCGTGGAGACTGAGAAAACTTTGAAGAGCCGGAATCAGTTTAGGTGTTAAAACCCTGCGAATAATGTCCGTAAAGTGAAAATTGTAAAATAATTCATTTTCAGCTACGTAGACATTCGTGTTGCTGTTGACTGGGGTGATCGATCTTGCATCCGTGGCAGATGGTAGGTAAGTGAGCTTTGATCGCCATGTTGACCAAGTGAAGAAGACCCATTTTCACACGGTCTACTTTGTCTTCTGAAAACACCTAGTCAGGCAGACGGTAAGGCTCCTCATCGGTGCTCTGGATGTCATGGGGTTGCACACCCTCCTCCTCCTCATGACCAGGCGGCGGCTCAGGGTTTGATGTCACTGAAGGTTGATCAGTATCTGTACTCGCAGGAGTCTCGTCGATCCAGGGCCTGAATGGTACGTTAGCAGAGACGTTCTCCGGAACCTCCATTATGGTGGGGAGTCGTGGTAGGTTATCCTCCGGAAAGCATGATGGCGGCGATGTGGGCCTCGGACTGCCGTTGTATCTCGGCGGTGATGAAGCCGTTAGTACCCAGCTCGGTGGCGGGCTCCATAGGTCATCAAGGGTCGTCTGATTGTAGAACCCCATCATGCTGATGCGTTAGATCGTCTGGATGAAATGGTTTCTAACTGTAAGCTCTTTATAACTAGTGCTGGGTGGGGGCGTGGTTTGATGATGCGACCCCTCCTCCTCCTCCTGATGCAGGTCACGTTAGTAACGGATTGCGAATACAGTTTGGACTTTTAACGTGATATCAGCTCTTAAAATAGCTGTTTCTGGACCAGAGGAGTGACAATGTGTCAAGTCATCTTTTTCATTTTTTGTTTTCGCAAACCTGTTTTGTGTTTTGTTTATAATTGTGAATAAATGAAAATAAACTTAAAAAAAATCTCTGTCATGTTTTTGTTCTGCTCAGCAATTAAACCAGGTGATTTCAAACAGCACAGTGAATTAACCCGGTTCAGTTACTGAGCAGAACAAAAACATGACATGGAGATGACTCGATGATGCCACAATATCACACCTCTGGTATGAACTAAAGTAGAGAATAGCTTCTGTTTTAGTTGTGTTGCATTGTAAGTAGAGGAAAGCAGGTGGGATTGTGAAAGACAAAAATCTTTCCACAACTATATTGTCAATAACGGTATAGGTAGGTACAATATCATATCTGTTTCTAAATACATCCTGATATGATCATATATATATATATATATATATATATATATATATATATATATATATATATATATATATATATATATATATATATATACACATATATGATCATACCAGGATATCGGCAAACCGTGGTTATGATAACTTGACTTGTACACTGAAAAAGTCTTGAAAATGTCCTGGAAAATAATTTCAGGAAAAGAGTGGGAACCCTGAGAGACACCTGTATAATTAGAGCAGTGTTTCCCATCCCTGGTCCTCAGGGCACACTATCCTGCATGTTTTCCATGTTGCCCTTTTAAATATCAGTGTTTCCTTGCTCCCACACACCTGACTTAAATGAATGAGTGATTAACAGGCATCTGCAGCACTTGATGTCCTCCTGAGGAGGCAATGTAAATCAGGTGTGCTGAAGCAGAGACATGGAAAACATGCTGGTCAGTGTGCCCTGAGGACCAGGGTTGGGAATCACTGAATTAGAGGATCAAGTTGGGACACCCACGACCTGTGGAGTTGAAACCAAATTTAATCTTGACTTGGACTTTGCTGCTATCTGGTGAGAAATACACACACACACACGTCAAGGTCATTTTAAAGCCTGATAATACCATTTGCCTCCTTTTACTGAGAAGCTAGGCGGGTCAATTTCGGAACACAAAAACTCATAGTCGATGCGTTTTTAATCCACTGAAGAAGCCAAAGACTTTATCAACAGTTTTGTGTTTCCATCTGGTGTAAACCGACCCATCTGTCTAAAACAAGAATCACACACCTGGTTCATTTTGAGCAGGCTTTAAACCAAAGACGTACTGCATAGGGGAAGGCAGCTTTTAAATCTTAACTTCTTTCATAAGTAAATGTTTTTGTTACAATCCCAATTTAGGACCACACCAGTGAGATGGGTGACTGTTGAAGTAACCTTTCCCCCTCAAAAGACAACAGCGTTGTAGTCCTAGTCCTGCCTGGATTCTCATCACAAGTCCACCCTGGTTTAAATGCCTGAGGCTTCCACTCACCTTCTCCTTTTAAAAACTAGAAACCTTGAGTTTTTCTGAAGTTTGATAAAACAATCCAGTTAGAAAACTAACTTCTGTAATAATTATTTTAAAGGGACTACTTCTTCCAGCTAGTCTGCCTTATTCTGTGCAATATGGTCAAATGTTGCAGCTTAATTAAAAACCGACACAAGCAAGAATCGGTCATCCTTGTTCGGTTTCCTTGTGCTGGCTCCAGTTTCTCCTCCACCCTTGGGCCTTTCTGGTGGATCGGTTTAACATCAAAATGACTAAATAAATGAAGATACTAAGGTGAACTTGTGTTTCTAACATCTAACTTTCTGCAAGAGTCGAATTGAGAAATAAAGACACAGACTGTCTAAAAAGTAAGACAATTGTTTAATTGGCACATTAGCAAAGATGTGAGTCCTTCATATTATAATGAACTTATGATAAATGTGCAGAACATGGTCTAGTCTGTTCTAGAGTAAAAGTGCAGCAGGATTGGTAGTGCCTTCATATACAGAAATGATTCTGCATGTTTAGATCCACTGTTAGTAACAGCTGTAGCAACACGTGTTAAAGTAGAACATTGTTTATTTAAATCTGGCCAACATAAGGCTGTAAACGGAGTAAGAGCGCTTCACGGCTGAAAGACCAATGCCAGGGCTTCTCCTCAGTAGAACATCTTGTGTTTGCTGCCGTCAAGGGGAGACACCATCAGTCGGGCCGAGCCTGGCGAGTAGAGAGGACGCCACGTGTTCCTCCAGATGACGGAGAAGACCCGAGAAATGCACAGGATGCACGCCAACACCAGCTGTACCACTGCCAGGGTGGAAAAGGGACCAGTGGTTAGGATCCTACTGCTGCAGTCAGATGAAACTACCCGAGTGTTCTGGACCGCTGCTACATGACTAACTCCAGTTATGAACGCATGATATAGGATATTTCATCTTTGACTTTAAAATGACCATTTCTGGCTAATTCCTAACAGGGAGAGGTCCGTTTTATGGCCTTTAGGCCTTTACAACAGCATGGAAGATGACCAAAGGGCTTAATGGCATTAAATTCATCTCAGAGAACAAAGTAAGGAACCTTGGTGTTATCTTCGACCAGGACATGTCATTCAAATCCCAGGTTAAACAGGTTAGTAGGATTTTCTTTTTCCACCTTCGGAATATTGCTAAGATTAGAAGCATCCTTTCCAGGAGTGATGCTGAAAAACTAGTTCATGCATTTATTACATCAAGACTGGATTACTGTAATTCATTACTCTCAGGAGGTCCACAGAATGTAGTTAAAAGTCTTCAGCTTGTACAAAATGCTGCAGCTAGAGTTCTGATGAGAATTAAAAAGAGAGATCATATCTCTCCTGTCTTAGCTTCCCTACATCGGCTACCTGTTAAATTCAGAATAGATTTTAAGATCCTCCTCACATATAAAGCTCTTAACAATCAAGCTCCATCATACATCAGTGATCTGATTGTTCCATATGTTCCTAACCGAGCACTTCTCTCAGACTGCAGGTCTACTGGTGGTTCCCAGAATATCTAAAATTAGGATGGGAGGCAGATCTTTTAGTTATCAGGCTCCTCTCCTGTGGAACCAGCTCCCAGCTTTAGTCCATGAGGCAGACACCCTGTCTACTTTTAAGACTAGGCTTAAACATTTTATTTGATAGGGCCTATGGTTAACATCTGATGTTAGCCTAGAACTGGACAAGTGGGGGAGTAGAGGGAGGTAGAGTGTACAGTCGGTACAGACGACTCTCCCTTGCCCTGACTCCAACATGCCTCCATCTAAAAGGCTAGGTTATCCAGAGTTATCTCTGTAGTTATGCTGCTATAGGCTTAGACTGCTGGAGGACACACTGACCACTTGTTTACTGTGTGAAGTGCCTTGAGACGACTCTTGTCGTGATTTGGCGCTTTATAAATAAACTTGAATTGAATTGAACGAGCTAAAAACAAAACGTCTATAATGCTGAGAATCACTGTAAACATGCCTTAAAAACCAGTAAAAATTAAATTATTCAAAAAAATTTGAAAAATTAAAGTGATTTCAAGTCTGATAATGAGGATGCCATTTTAATCTGAATTTGGAGAAATCTGAGCCACGTTCCTCCCAGAGCATGCTCTGGGAGGAACGTGGGGCAGGTGTTTGAGAAGTCGCGCTTGTTGATCGTTTAGTTTCAGTTTACTTGATCACTAAACTCACCCATAAAAATAGAATTTGGAGTGGGATCATCTGGGTTGAAATGTCTGTAGATGTTTCCAACCAGAGCCACCATCACCACTGGGTACACGGTCAGAATGTTCCGTACCCAGCGGTCCAACACCCAGTTCTCCAGAATGAACCTACACACAGAGGATGGAGCACATGATCACAGATGCAGAGGAACAGAGATAGTTTCACTCCGCCCATCAGAGCCTGAGGATTATTGTACGATAAAGTCCAACAAAGCGAGAACTGAGACATGCATGCAAGAGTTAAACTACCACACTGATACACGAGTCACTGCACATCATCTACAGCAGCTTACCATCCCACCAGCTCTGCAAACAGGATGCACAGAGAGGCAGTAGCTGCTGTGGTTCTGTCTACGCCCCAAAGGTGGAGAACCACTGAGAAATTGATCAGAGAGGCTATGGAGGTCCATGTGGTGTAAGCCGCCAAACCATTCTGCACCTGAGCACAGACACACGCATGTTATCATTCAAACAGGTCACAGCTAGTCGTGGTGAGTGAACCTCAGCTCTGCCCTACCAGTATTCTGAGACAGGCCAGGTCTTTGCCATGATACATCTTCAACCACAGCCCATAATAATCTGTGGCAAAGCAGCAGAAGAACAAAGCGTTGTAGTTGGAAATCACCAGCAGGATCAGCACAACCAATGCAGCTAACATCAACCTGAAAAACAGAAAACAACAAGATACATAACTGTTCCAGGGTAATAATGGTAGTGATGATCCTGGTGTTGTCTGTTGTCCTTCAGAGCACCGATCAGCAAAATCACCAGTTCACCATCTTGGATCACTTCGAGTTGGTCTTTATTCTGACCACTGTAGACCTAGAAGGTCCCAGAAGAGCTGCAGACGAGGAGGTGCTGTCGGGTCGGCTGTCTCACCATCACAGCTAAACTCGACCCTGTTCGTTTACTGGTTACCATTGCCACTTCCACACTAGCATCAGCTCTCCTCTGCCTGAATGAGGTGTAAAGTGTTCTCATTTAGGTAGTCAGACACATCCGCATTCCTAAGGACGTGTGTGTAATCAACCCGGCCAGGCTGGGCGGAGTGGAGCCGGCGCTAGTGTGCAACTGTCATATGCTTCATGCACAGCTGGGTGTCATGGCAACCACCACATCATCAGTGAGGAGTTTTTACATCACCACTCAACGGTCAGGATGACATGGTGAAAATTGTTTCTGGACTTTTTGTCAGGAACTTTTTTAAACCTGTAATTTATTTTTGAGAAACAAGACCTATAAACCCGAGATTGTTTTGTTCTATAAAAACAAAATACATGAAAGAAAGAAGTCATTCAAATCAGCTGTTGAGTGACATAATAATTAGAAGCAGACGACGTACTCTCTATCCCACAGGATGAGCCAGATCATGTTCAGCATCAGGCTGGACAGCCAGGAGAAGTAGAAGGCATAAGGCAGCAAACACTGAGCCCACGATCTGTTCACAGAAAGACAATCAATCAGTTTTTATCTGTTAATTATTCAGTAAGACTGCACTGATGCTAGCTCACCCTCTGAAGATGTAGGATGTGATGTACATGACCATCAGGGTGAGCCAGGTGTAGATGACCCCCCAGATAGAGAAGGTCCAACCAGCAGGAGTGATGTTGGTCTCATAGCGGGCTGACACATTGCCCGTACTGAGGTGGAAAGGACCTGAATGTGACAAACATTCATCATCAAACATGTTTAGGAGCCGTTTCCAGATAAAACGCTTAGATAATAAATACTAACACCAAAACAGCCTTGGTACGTTGTTTATGGCCCGTCTGCTTCTATGAGTCCCACAGCCTGCCTGGCTCTCGGCTCGAACTACAATCAACCTGCCTGACTTTTTACTGTTGTTTCAAATATTAATATCTCTAGATGAAAAAGCCCAACCCCCAAACTGCATAACTGCAGAGGACTCGGCTGCCAGGCTTTAACACAAACCATGAGGAGAGCACATTCCTCATCCCTCCCTACAGCTCTCCCTGTTGGGAGGGATGAGCCACACGAAGAACCGAACCGATCCAACGACTGTCACTCATTTCGTAATCTTTGCCTTAGATTATTTAGAGTATTCTAGAAGAGCATGAGCACAGACCAAGATCTGTGGACAGAAGCAGTTTTTGTTCCAGACAGGCTGTGAACCACAGGATCAGCAGCTGTGAAAACGGTTTTATAAATCAGACTCTTATATAAAAACACTTTTCCCCACTCACACGTCTTTAACAAAGGCCCTCCACGGGGACATAACTCATGTTTGTATCAGATGTGTTCCGTTTGGCTGTTCTTGTTTTATCTGCCTTTATTCTGCTGATGAACATTTGGTTAGAATATTATTAATGACGCTTGAAGTTATTTTTGTACAAAGGCCCATCACCAACTAAATGCACATCTAAACATGTTGATTAGAAACCTCCCGTCCTGCTTCAGAGATGAATCAGTTCCTCCGTGGAGACTGTTTCCACACCAGGAGGAAGGAAAATGTCTCAGTTTAGGGTTTCATGCCCCACCCAGTGGAAAACAACACAACTTCATGCCCCACCCAGTGGAAAACAACACAACTACTTTTTATTCCTCAACCTCAGATCTATTTATCCGAAAGACTTTGTTTGTTTTGCTGGAGGCTTGTTTACTGTGGGCTGTCACGCACGCCTACACAACCCTTCTCTAACCCAAACCCAGTCATGGGGACAGCTTCTGTGTTTTAGGGAGACGCTGGGCTTCCAGGGACAGACCGTTAGATAGGTGGAGCCTCCCGTACAACCATAAACAGACTGCAGCTCAATCATTTCCACATCAAATCTAACTTTTGCAACTCATAACAGACGGTAGCTGTCGGACACATTTCCTTATCAGCTAAGGTTCTGAGCTAACCTATAAAAGCATTAAAGTAGCCCCCGCCCTTTAAAAAAACTACACAAACTTACCCCTGCCCGCTCCAGCCAGCGCGTTAATGACCAGCACGGCTACAAAGGCCGCAGCACACACGATAACGACGAGAACCCGACACAGGTTGTTGTCCTTCATGCTAGCTGCTGCTGCCGTTACGTTTTTAGGAAGGACTTGTTGCTTCTCGGGTCTCCGCGCGAGCAACGACGAGTAGCCCCTGGCTGCATCCCGGAGATCGGGGCGGGGCTAAATGTGGGCGGGGTTAAACGTTTAGAGGTGGGTGGAGACAACTATTTGACTCCTGCCCCTCTCTCAATGGAACCAGGAAACCGCGAGTAGCCCCTTTCTAAGGATTAGAAAGCCCTAAAAACCCACAAAACCCATGTAAAGCATAACATTGGTAATCAAATGACTTGTTTGCTGGATGTCATGATAATTTTAAAGAGCAGATAATTACAGGCGCCATTTTTGATCCAATCTGTTCTGATATTTTTATTCTTTTTTCTACTTTTGTATGGTATGTGTATTTATAGCACATAGGTATTTGTGTCTTTTAGCTATACTTTTGGTACCTATATAAAAGGTTCAGGCATTTGATAGACTATTCTTTAAACCTGTCAAAACCATTTTAATAGTTGATTTTATCAATGCCGCCTTTATTTTAATAGTAATTTCCCAAGTGAGTGTAAAACAGTACAGACACGGGTAAATTTGTTGTACACTCAGTTATGTCAGCTACATTAAGAGGACCAGAGACTTAAATTGTGCTGATACTTCTTAAAACATGCCAGGGTTTGAGGCGGGGTGGTGAGACATTGTGTGAGACATCCAAGAATGCAGACTAAATTTTTCAAAAAAAGTAAATTTAATAGAGCAAACAGCCAACACAGGAATAAAAAAAAAAAGTACAAACAAATGAACCAAAAAGCACACAAAAAAAGAGAACCTCCAAAAAAACAATGTGAGGAGGAAAAAGAATGCAAAAACTGTGACACCGCTGTACTATGGCATTTCAAAGCCAGAAAACACCTTCATCTTCCTTTTTTCCTCAATTTCTCTGCAGAACTCCTCATAGTCGAACTGAAAACTAAACATGAACAGGAACGGTTCCCTGCAATCGTTCATCTCCTCTTCATCTAGGCCATCACAGAAGCATAACCTCTCCACTGCCCTCCGGCAAGCTTCCCTGTCCATGGTGATGACCTAGGGAAGGGAAAGGCTTCCTTTGAAGGACCTTGTGGTACACCACCTTGCTGCCTCAAAGGTGTCCTCAAGCAGAGAATTCTCCTAATCAAAAATAGACAATATTAAAATTACTGCTGTCATGAGATTAAAAACATATTTTACATTAATTATCTAATCTTTTAATTTAATCTAATAACTGTACATAATATAAGCCTTATTTTCAATGCTAACAGCTAGCCAAACAGCTGATGCTGTGGTCTTTCCAAACTGCAGCACGGAGGTGCATCTGATACAGGAGAGAAGCCGTCAGCAGCCTTGATGCTCAGTGACACACCCATTACATCCAAATGGTAACAATAACTTTGGAAAAAGTTGCAAGAAGGGTGAAAAAAATGGAGTAAAGATAACAAGGTCGCTGAAATGAACACTGCTGCAGCTAATCTCTCACCGGTCTTGTCACTGTAACGTCAACCCTTCAACTTATGAGTTTACATCAACCCTTCAAGAACACCAGCAAGAAGCGTAAAAGAAAAGAAATTGGTTTATTTAAAAGTCCCATAAAGAAGCAGCAGATTAAAAATGATTAACATAGTTAAAATATATAACACGTAATCATGGCTGTAAAAAAATTGCAAGTAATGGAATTATTTGACACCTCTAATTAAAATAGAGGTTGGAGAAGAAACAATGACACAAGAAAAGCCGACAATATAAAACATACTCTGTTCCCTGTGTCATGTTCCAGCAAGTTCTCAGCCTCTGCTAGAAAGGAAAAAGATTGTGGTTCATAAAAAGCATATTAACAGTGCAAGTTGTAAAAAAAGATCAGTTGCTTAGTATTCTGGTTTAATGAAAATAGAGAAATGACTGAAAAACTTGCTTTAAAAAAAAAGTGCTAGTCTGGAACGGTCTTAATTTTCTAATCTTGGCAAAGTAAGAATTTCATTGTGCAGAAAGCGTGTTTTTCTAGCTGTGCATATGACAAAAAGTTGAATCTTGAATCTTCCCACATCCTATTTCGACAACCTAGGGGGTTGTGTACAATAATACTTGTTTGAACAATACCTGATGCTGCACAGACTAATTAAGTGTGGCAGGACTTCTTAGGAGGGACCACTTCCAGGCCCTGAAATAAGTGAAGGAATTATGCTTTAGTCTGCAAGCAACAGTTAAACTACAAGAATTAATCAAATTGTCTCTCACCTGTTTTACTCTTTCCTCTCTCCGTCTTTTTCGTGCCTGCACCCTGTCTTCCTCAGACCTTGGTGATACAATGACAACATTCATTCACTATGAAAACATTCATGTTATTCTGTTGACACTTGACTGAGCAAAACACATTAATTACACATATCAGATTAGCACTATAACCATAATAATAAAGCCCATCAGGTGTAGAACTCAGATACGAACATAAAAAGCTTAAAAAACTAACATTTCCCCCTGTAAAATATATTTTCCACCAAAAAGTAATCATGACCACACAACATATCTCCCCAAAGCTATAAAAGTGTTCCTACAGGTTTCTTCAACTTAAAATTAAGTCTGTTTAAGATCTTTCTAAAGCCATATAGAAAATTAATACCTATTTCACAGCACTATCAGCAAAAAAGTAAATAAATAAAATAAAATTATTGAACTAGTTTTCATTTATTTATCTATACAACTTTACCAATATATTTTGACAAAACACTGGGTGGGCACTTGGTAGAAGATCGGTTATATTTTTAAACAAATGGTTAAAAATATAACCAGATCTCTGGTTTGACATTAGAACCTTAACAATAATTTTTGTTGCCTATATTTTAGTTTAATTTTAAGACGTTTTTTTTATTATTGTTAATTTTATTACCCTAATTTCTTGCAGTATTTCTATTGTATAAAAGCAACAGTGCAAACAGTAAAGACACAAAATTGAAATAAATGTCTAAAAATAGCCTTTATTAATACTAGTGCTTCTCTTCATGTCATCACTTGTTTGGAATATTTTGATGAACTTCAGAAGAAAAATGCAGCACAGAAAACTTACATCCAACACAAATTTTAAGACCCAGATGCCAAAATTGAAGGGTTTCTCCAGTCTTTTAAAGGTATTACTTTCAAATTCATAAATTCAATGCTTTTAATACTCCGCGGTGAAAATATACGTATCTACCTTATAAGCTTCACGTATCCACCTTATAAGCTTCTTTTATATATTTACCTTATAAAGCTCAGTTGTATTACTCTATGATATGTACACTTGCTTAGATGGTCAAGGCCTCTACACAAAGATTTACAGCAGCATGTTCTGTTCTGCAACCTTGTAGGGAGCGAGCACATTCCAGCTCCTCTCTGTACCGGTGAAATGTATCTTCATGTATCAAGATGCTCCTAGTAATCTCAAGGATGCATGTTCTAGTGATGTATTAACTGTCCACTAACAAGGCTATTATTTTCACCTGTCATGACCAATGACGTATGTACATGGCAAACTGCGTATGTAACATTCCTGTAATCTTCAATAAAAATCAGCCGTTTTCAGTAGAACGGCGGAGAGTCTGTCCAAAGCAGCTGGCAAGAGCAGGTCGCGGGACCTGCTGCAAAAGGGCTCTCCCCCTCTCGAGCGGTGAAACAGTGACTGGATTCCTCTGATCATTTGTCTCCTCATTCTATCAACTCAAAAGGTGTTTAACTCCATCTTCTCCGTACCCGTGCTTGGTCTAACAGAAGAAAAGACCAACAAAATTTGGCGTCACGAACAGGATTTTTTCTTTTTGAAGAAAAAGGAGTTTTTGGAGGACGATTCGACCAGCTGACCCAGCGAACGATCTTGGCACAAAAACACCGCGGTGAAAAACTAAGGTAAGCAGGCCTTATTTTCTAAAATCTGCTCATTGGATTTATCCAAAGCCTTTGTGTCCAGAATCATAGTAGCTGTGGTCCTAAAATAATAGTTGGAGAAGAAAGTGGAGACAAGTGCAGAAGAATAAGAGATTTTTTGTAATGGTTTAATGGTGAAATGAAATGAGGATTTTTCTAATGGTTTAATGGTAAATGAGATAAGGAAATAGTACAGAAGAAGGGATGGTGGCCCAGGGTTATTAGAAGAGCCCTAAAGTTCCGTTTCCAGGTCGTGGCTGACCACACTATTTGCTGACGAGTGAATAGAAATATAACGAGGTTATATAAGAGCTTGGCGAAGAGTCCATAGGTGTGGGAACCCTAAAAGTCCACAGGTCTAGGACCTGGTTTGTGTTGAGGCCCTGGGAGGCTAAAGAGAGCTCCCTAAAGTACAGGTCGATGACCTGGTTCGGGTTAAGGGCAGGGGAGGCTAAAAGAGAGCTCCCTAGATTTTAAAGGTCAAGGACCTTTTGTATGAGATGAGAAAAATGTTTTTGATCGTTTTTGCATAAAATGCGCTATGTTTTTGGCTGTTTCTGCGTGAAGTGAGTAGTGCTTTTGGCTGTTTCTGCGTAAAAATGAGCAATGTTTTTGGCTGTTTCTGCATGAAATAAGCAATGTGGATATGAAACTGTATTTTTTTGACACAAAACACACGTTATAGTTAGAAAACACGCTGTATGAATGTCAAGTCTCAATCAGCTTTGTCGGTAAAACAGATGGAGCTGACTGATTAACTTGAATTACATAATAAAAGAGACAGAATAAGCTCCAAATGAGAGTGAATAAGTCTCTTTAGGCTTAGCGAACATATCATCTGCACTCACAGCGCAGATAGTAAGGATAAGTGTAAAAACACATAGATTTTCTCATATCACAACTAATAGGGATAAGTTGAATAAGCGGAGACCACCACACCCTCCGCAGTGAAGACGGGTAACGAATGAATGAACTGTACTAACAAATTGTATGTGTAAGTGAGAGAAATACAGCGCGCCCTTGTGGATGCTCTAGGCAAGATTTCCTCACCTGAAACACAGGTTGAAGAAGGAAATACCACAGAGGTCATTGGCGCTGTCTCACTAATCAATACTGGTGAGCTAGAGCCCCCTATGGGCTAAACCCCTCGTCAGTCCAAATTGTCACCAAAAATCAGCAACATACAACATACTAACAGAATGATGGAAAAAGAA